TCTATGCCCGCCTCCTCAGCTGCAGCAGCAGCTGCTGCTGCTCCCTCTGCAGCAGCAAGTGCTGCGTCCCGTGCTGCAGCAGCTCGCGTCGCAGCAGCAGCAGCAGCTGTTGCTGCTGCTGCTGCAGAAGGGAAGTCTCCGCTGCTGCTGCTGCTGCTGCTGCTGCTGTTGCTGCTGCTGCTGCTGCTGCTGCTACTCGGGTCGAAGGTATCCTCTGCTGCTGAGTGAGATGAGTCTTCTTCCCCTTTGCTGCTGCTTCCTGCCTCTTCTGCTGCTGCTGCTGCTGCTGCTGCTGCTGCTGCTGCTTCTGATGTGCGGCGGCGACGCAGCCTGCTGCTGTTTATGCTGCTGCCCTTGCCATTGCTGCTGCTGCTGCTGCTGCTGCTGCTGCTGCTGCTCCAAGCGGCATCGCAGCCCTGCTGCTGCAGAGGCTGCTTTTGCTGCAGCTCTGGCTGCTGCTTCTTTTGTTGTTGCTGCTGCTGCTGCTGGTGTTGCTGCTGCTGCCGCTCATGCTGCTGCTGCTGCGGCTGCTGCTGCGGGGGGCGACTCGCCAAACGACCTGGCCGCCGCAGCAGCCAGTGTGCTGCTGCTGCTGCTGCTGCAGCGAGCAGCAGCAGCAACAGCAGCAGCAACATCCTAGGAGGGAATGTCTTACGTGCGATTAGGGGGAATGAGCTGCTGCTGCTGCTGCTGCTTGTGTTGCTGCTGCTGCAGCAGCTGCTGCTGCTGCTGGGGTCGCGCTGTTGCAGCAGTTGCTACTCTTGCAGGTACTGCAGCAGGAGCAGCAGCAGCTGCTGCGGCGCTGCAGCAGCAACAGCAGCAGCAGCAGCAACGCCAGACAGTGCAGCAGCAGCTGCTGCTGTCAAGAAGCAAAAGAGTTGAATGATTGGGTGTGCGTGAGCTGGAGATAACTACTGCTGCAGCAGTTGCTGCTGCTGCTGCTGCTGCTGCTGCTGCTGTTGCTGCTGCTGCTGCTGCTGCAGCAGAGCTTATGTTCTATCGAGTCTGCTTTTTGCTGCTGCTGTTTTATTATTAAACTTAAAATATTAAAATAACGGCTGAGACAAGCAGCAAGAGCAGCAGTTGCTGCGGCCTACTGCTGCTGCTGCTGCTGCTGCTGCTGCGCTGCATTGCCTGCTGCTGCAGCTCCAGCAGCACATGCAGCAGCAGCAGCAGCAGCTGCTGCTGCTGCTGCTGCTGCTGGCGTCGCCTCGATCCATGC